CAAAGGTTTGTGTTGAACGAGTCCCGACGCGCCCTGCTCCCTCCTCCTCCCAGGGAGGTTCTGCAGACGGGACAGTGGCTGCAGGTGGCCAGATACTCCCCCAGCCTCCCCCAGGAATGAGTGTCTATGCTGCCAAGAGGGTGATCGGAGAGGCTCAGTGGAGCGCTGAGCAGCTAGAGCAGGTGCAATAGCCGAATCTGGAGGATGAGTAGTGGCTATATTTCATCTCACATTAAAGTCAAAATAAGATTTCTCTGAAATGTAATGTAGGTTCTAAACACAGCTCAATACAGAAATAGTGTGTTGCTGTCAGTCAATAGCTGTTCAATACATTGTTAAGTCTTTGTTTGTGCCCCTGTATTCATTCATAATGATTTAAATATATATGTGAATGGTGATGCGCATTGGGTCGCATTTCTCTTGAATATAAAGCTAACGATTCCTTCATTGCGTGTTTCAACAGTGTAAACTAGGCATAGTGAAGTTCATTGAAGCAAAGCAAGTCCCAGAGGTGGAGACGTGGTGCACCTGGTGGTGGCGTCAAGCGACACTCGTCACAGTGTGGCCACTGCAGCTGATCTGGAGCTGAAGAGCAAACAGAGGTAGGGGAAGGAGCTTGAATCGCCCCCGGTTCATATGTGCTTTACAGATGTCATCCACCCTGTAATCTTTCCTCTGCAGTGAAACGAATTGTTAGGTACACTGGTTGTGCTACAAATTCACAAAGCAAAATCTTTCATCTCTAAATGATTGATTTTTTGCCAATAACATTTTCTTCAGGTTATGAAAGTTACAGATTGACAAGCTGGTATCTATACCCATTGGAGAGAAATGCTGAATGTATAACTTTTATTCATATCATTGGTTATGTACTTGTTTTATTACCTTCCAGCATCATCGATTGGAACAATCCTCTGATTATCAACAAGATGTACAAGGTGTATCTGGGAGACGTTCCTCTTAAGACAAAGGTTTGTAAAATAAACATTTCATTTTCAAACTTAACCTGTGTTTCTTTTTTATTTAATTATTATTTCTTAATTATAATTGATTTGCATTGCGCACTAGGGCGGCAATATGAAGCAAGAGCTGAAACACGAGCCAGTAAGCACAAGAGTCAAACTGAAGATTCTACCACATCTTCTACGGTCACGCCTAGCCGCAGAGTGCTTTCCAGCTAATATCCAGGTAGGCTCTTTGTCCATGCTTTTGGGTACATTTGTGTAGTCTCAATTTTGCATATACATATACAGTAAGTCTGGTGGTAAGCTAAATAATTTTTAAGGAAATGATCCAGTGTATGGCACAATCAGTCCTTTCCTTTCCTCCACAGGTTGTGTACGATGGTCTGTTTGGAACCAACACCAACAACAAACTGCTGTCTCTCACCTTACAGTTTGTCCATCACATTGCATGGTGTAAGAAAAGTGCACTTTTCTTTTCTTAGTCTAGATGCATCCATGTTTAATTTCTTCTCACGACAAAGTGTTTTGTCGTTTTTCAGATGTCCTGACACTAATAAACCGTTGGGCCTAATGCTGCTTAATGGCCTTACCAAGCTCATCAATGAATACAAGGAGGTAAAACTACAAATGGAAATGCACATTTTAACTGTAATTTCATACAGTATAATTTGATTTATGCCTACTAAACAACATTTGTCCTTGCAGGATCCTAAGTTGCTATGTGTTGCCTACTCTGCTGTTGGAAAGCTGTCAAGGTACAATAAAATAATTCTTTCTTTTTTCCTTAAAACATTGCCAGCTTGGTGTGGGATTTTAGACTTAAAAAAACATTAAACACTTTATATCCTCTCCTCTAGCCGCATGCCACAGCTGTTCACAAAGGATATTGCACTTGTACAGCAGTTTTTTGAGTCCATGTGCAAGGTAGGTGAAAAAGCTCTTAAAATCTCAATGCAACGAAAACTGGCAGCACACTACAATTAAAATAAAACTATCAATCAAAGTTTTTTTTTTTTTTTTTTTTTATTCCTTTTCACAGTGGTGTATCCGATATAGACATTTCAAAATTCTGTGTCAACTTCTTTAGGAGGAGCCGGATGTCCGTCTTGCCATCCAGGAAGCTTTGTCTATGATGGTTGGAGCTTATGCCAACCTACAGGGGGCACTGCTGAACCTGATGGAGGCCCTGGTGGCTGCATACATTGGAAAGGTGAGTGTACATGGGTAAAGTAGATATTTGGTATGTTGACTAGTTTAGTAACTAGGCACGAGGCAATTCAAACACACTCGAATTTTCTTTATGGCCAGCCGGAAGTGCAAGTTCGGCAGGTGGCCATGAAGTTTGCCAGCACGGTGTTTGGTCCTGATCACGTGCCATCAAGATATCTACTGCTACTGGCAGCTGGAGACCCGTAAGTCCCAAAACACACACAAATTGTCTACATAACAGTAAATACAATGTAGTACAAAGTCTTGAAAGCACTTTGTACACACAAAAATTCAAATAAGATGGGAGAAAGTCAAAACTAAAATCAAAGTTGTGCTATATTTTTAGGAGGGAGGAGGTGTCTGCGGAAGCCCAAAAGGTGCTAAGAGTTTTTCCTACCAAGAGCTCAGAGAAGGAGGGACCAAAGCCAATGCCCTCCTTTCCTGACATGGTGGCCTATGTCCAGGAGAAGGTGAGGCTCAGTGCATTTTTCATTGTCTTAGAAACAATACATCCAGGTTACATGGTGGCTGTTTTGCTAAAAGAAATATTAATCTGGTATCTTTTTTTGGTTATGTCATTGTCAGGCTGCTCAGAGGATCAAGACTCCAGCTAAGTACATTGTTGGAACCTCCACTATTCCTTTCAACCCATCCGCGTTTGGGGAGGTAAATATTAATTGGTGATCAGCCTGTACATTCAGTAAATGTGACACAAGATGAGTTTGCAAGTTTGGGGGGTTATACAAAGTT